TGACCTTTATGTCTCCCCACTGGTCCTTGGGGATTCCAGGAACTGCTCCTCCTAGCCTGAACTCTGTTCGGGGGGCTCTCTAGGGCCTTCGTGGCTTTGTTTTGCTACTGTTACTCATCTGTTGTGTTCACTTCTTCGTTTGCCCCACTGTGGGGGGTTCAGACGGCACTTCCTGCCTGCTGTGTGTCCCCAGTCTTGTCCCCTGTGGCTGTATGCTCCAGTAAGGGAACAACAAGGTGTTGGGCCCATAGTCCTCTCTGTGCCTTAGCAGTTCCAGCTGGGACGTCGCCCTCGGGGCTTGGCGGGTCAGTATGGGGTCTGGACCGACTGGTCCTTTCTCTTTTTCCTTCCTGGTTTGCTTCCATGTGGGCATGATATGCCAACCCCACACCTCGACCTGTAGGTTTAGTGCTGGTCTCTGCCTCACGCACGGACTTCTAGGGAGGGGGTGGGTTTGGCTGTGCTTGGGGCCGGCCCTGTAGCCCAGTCTTTTCATGCATTCCTCCTCGTGGCTACGTGGGCCCTCGTGGTTTGTTGTGTTGTGTTGGGGTGTGTGTGCATACTCCTGATTCTGTGGAGACATAACCAGTGCTCTCCCCCTGGGTGGGTTAGTGCCCGGATCCCTCCGTGCCATCGTCTGACTCTCACCATGCCCCCCCTTTTCCCTCTCCCTTCCCCCCTTTCCCCTAATTTATGTTGGATCAGCATGTACCTCCTTGGGTTTGGTCTGACGCCACCTGTGCCTGCACCTCAGTGCACACTGTCAGATGAGTGGCTTTTCTTCGCCACCTGCTGTGCTGGTTATATGTCCCTCAGGGTCCTTGTGATTGGCTGACTTCACTTAGCATAATTTCCTCCAGCTCTTCCCATAAAACAACATGTTACATGTGCTCGTTAGTGCTTTATAGAGATGCATAGGACTCCATTGTGTGTGTGCCAGGGTTTACTAACACACTCGCCTATTGATGGCTCTTTGCGGTTGTGAACTGTGCCACAGTAAACATTGGAGCACAGACAGCTGGTCGTGGTCTGTTTCTTACCTCTTCTGGGTATATGCCCAGTAGAGGATAGCTGGACCCTAAGGTAGATCAATTTCCGTATGTTTTAGGTATCGCCAGATCGCTTTCCACAGTGACTGCCCACATCTATACAACTGCCAGCAGTGGAGGAGAGTGCCTGTCTCGCCACGTCCCCTCCAGCATTTGTTGCTCTCTGATCTTCTGGTTTGGGCTCACCTCGAGGGTGTTAGATGGTATCTCTTGGTTGCTTTAATTTGCATCTCTCTGACCCGGAGCATGTTCTCATGTTTATTGGTCATACAGGGTTCCTCCCGAGTGACACTCATGTTGGCTGTCTACTGCAGGGGGTTAGTGACCTTTGTTTAGGAGATGAGGCAGAAGTAGGTATAGGTCTGGGTGGACTGTGTAAGCATAGTTGCTGTCTCTCTCAAGAAGGAAAATAAAAAAACAAAGCAAACAATAGCAGAATTTAAAAACAAAATACAGAGGAAAACTGGAAAACTATAGCAATAAAAAGAATTTAGCAACAGAAAAAAAGGATAGATAAAAGCAAGATAAGAGAAAAAAGAAAAACATAGTATGCAGAACTAGGGATGGGGTAGAGAAAAGAGAATTTTTTTTCTTTTAAAAAAATAATTTTATTTAGAGCTCTTACAATGCTTATTACAATCCACACACCAATTGTATCAGGTATATTTGTACATATGTTGCCATCATTCTTTTCTAGACAGTTACTTTCTATTGAGTCCTTGGTATGAGCTCCTCTTTTTCTCCTCCCCCCC